AGGCAGCCTCCTCTACATACCCTTTCTCACTCCTCCACCAGGTGGGCACGCGTACTCCCCGGTTGATAAGAGGAAGCAGGGTCCGTATCTCTCGCGGGTGCCCGAGCGCGTAAAGGGCAGGCCCTCATCGGGAGTGAGGGCCTGGTCTATGTGGGGGCAGTCTTCGTTCGCCAGCGCGGCCTTCGCCACCTCCCCATTCAGTTTGGAATCTTCAAACATATAAGCAGAAGCTATTGAGACACTGAAAACTGTTTAGTGGGGGAGGGGGGGGGAACAGGCCAGAAGTAGGGCATCGGCAAAGGGCAGCCGGTAACTGAGGATGGAAAAGCGAGCAGGCCATGGAGGGAGGCACAAGGCTGGGGGTCCCCGGCTCATTCAGGCAGCCCTTGGGCTGCCCACAGTGCTGGGGAGGAGGGTTCCTGGGTTTGCTCAAAGTTTGCAAAAAGATGAGTTGGTGATGGGCCCAGCAAGCGCAGTGCTGGGGGCCGGGCCCCAGGTCCAAGGCGGGGCCGATGAGACAGGATGGTGTGGATGCAGTCATGGGTAGAGGGCCAGACACAGAGCTCAGGGAGAAGACAGACAGACACGCAGAAACACTCCTGTTCAGAGAGGCAGCCTTTTCTGACCCCTCCGCTGCCAACCAGAGCCCTGCTGCCTCCCGTCCACATCCAAGCCGGCTGCTCAGGCATCCCTGGCCCCATCCAGACCCCGTCGATCGGCTCTACACCAGGCCCCATTTGGATCCCCTCTGGTCACTCGCTTCACACTGTCCCCCTCCACGCCCTATCTGATCACTCAATCCCCCCATATGGACCCAATCTGGTCACTCTGTATGCTCCATCCCCCGTACAGACTAGGCCTGGTCACACAGTCTCCTGGTCCCCCATGCAGACCCAGTATGACCACTCAATCTGCTCCATCCCCACACAGACTTAAGCTGGTCACTCAGTCCACTCTGATCGCCACACAGACCAAGCCAGTGTCTTCCACCCCGCTCTGCCCCAAGCAGTCCTAGTCAGCTTGCACAGGCGCAACAGGAATGTAGGCATGAGGCAGTGACAGCGGCCAGGATTTGGGAGGGGCTCCCATTCCTCTGTCTCCTCTCGGCAGCATCCCCCGCAAAGCAGAGCAAATGGATGTGTAAAGACAACAGTGGCTGATGGACTCGGGTGGGAAAGACGAGCCTTGGCCTCTGCAGTAGCCTGAGAAGGAACCTGGGAGGAAGTTTGGGGCACATCTGGTGAGGGTGAAGCGTGGCCAGAGCAGGGAGCTCTCCCTCTCCCAAGTCCAGGAGCAGCGCCGTGACAGCCTCTGGAGCTGGCAGAGGTAGCTCCGTTGGCCTCTGTCCCCGCCCATCACTCTCGGGGACTGAGCCTGCCCCACGCTCTCTGCTCTCTAAGCAGACTCTTCCTGGCCAAGGTGGCGCCGACTCGGTCTCCAGGGTGGGCACTGTGGTTTCCTCAAATACTTCCTCTAGGGTGACAGCCTCAAGGGAAGACAGACCCCACAGGGGCGTGACCACACGGGGAGACCCTCTGAAAGACTAAAGAGGGGCAAAAAGCTGGAGACAGTCTCCACCCGATTTGACCCTCTTCCATGACCCTGTTCACATCATGTAACTACACGCAGAAGTGATCCTTCTCCGTGTGCACACACTCAGCGTGCCCGCGGGTGGGATCACGGCCCGTGTACATACCATGTCACTACAAAGAGGCAGGCAGTCAAAAGAGAAATGGACCAATCAGGTTTATTCGTAAAGCAAATCCAAAAAAAAAAAAAATCCCATCATAATTTTGGAACTTAAAAAAAAAAGTCTGTCGTACAAGATGGCAAAGCATTTCACGTACAGTGCGTTTCTTGACAAATCCCAGGGGCTTCACTCCCCAATTTACTCTGAACCAGAAAGGCCAGTTACCAAGGTAACTCTGATACCACGTGACTGGGGCTGGGGCCTCTCTGGGGTCTGGGGGCTGCCTAGCACTTGGGGTGTGTCTGAGGGCACACACGTGTGCGCACAGACAAGCCCGGTTCTGCCTCCCAGTCTGGCTGGTCCCGTCTTCCCTCCCAAGGGTCTCTGGGGAGAGGGCAGGGAAGTTTAAGGGAGGAGGTTGTAGATGAGGGGGCAGAAGTTGGGGCCCACAGTACCCTGCACACAGTTTCCTCAAGGGGAAAACAGCGAGTCCTACCAGGCAGCGTCTCCGTCTGGGAGGGGAGCCAGGACTTGCTGTCTCTATACTGACCATCGTCTGTCAGTGGAGGTATCTATAGCCTGCAGGGCTTACCCAGGGGTGGGTCAGAGGTAGGTGGTGGAGCCTGAGACCCCTCATCGGACTCTGCCCCCCAGCACTGTGCCCCTGGAGCAGCCAGCTCCCACAGCATTTAGAGGACCCAAAGTTGAGGCTGGTTTCCTGTAGGGGTCCGGCCAGGGGATCCCTGGGTGGATGTGAACTGGACACCCTTCCCTCCCTGGAGCCTGCTTCTTCTCCCAACCATGGCCTTTGAGAAGGGGCTGTGCCTGAGGGCTGGTGGTGGGGGGAGTGTTTCTGTCCCTCTCTGTGAAGGAGCCAGCCTCCCTGGGCTGCTGGCTAATCTGCAGTTTGGTGAGCTCTCAGAAACTGGGAACATTCTCCTTTCCCAACTCCAGAGGGGGGCTGGAAGAGAGACCACCCAAGGGGGGCCAGCTCTCCAAACCTGGGAAAGCCATGGAAAAGGCCAGAGGTGCCAGCCCACCCAAGACTCCCCACCCTCCTGCCCCCACCCCGTCCTTTAGATGAGATAGCCACCAGGCCCCTCGGCTCCCAGCTGCTCCCCAGGAGGCTGGGAGCCCTGCCTCCCCTGGCCCAGGGCCCCTTGGCCCCCACTAGACCCGAGGGCCTGTGATGATGAAATGGCAGCATGGGCAGCATCTCACGAAGATGGTTTCCAGGCTTTGAAATGGGCTGAGAGATGAGCGTCCGCGAGAGGGTCATTTTTTTTTAAACTTTGGAGCAAGGAGAACCCGATGTCCGGCCCTGAGCCAGCACGCTGGCTTCTGTGCCCTGGTCTCCAGGCACCGCCGAGGTACTTACTGTTCACACCAGCAGCGGGCGCGCCAGGGGCGCACGCAAGGGCTGGGGCGGGGGGGGAGGGGTGGCTGGGAATTTCCTCGGGTTTAGCCCTGAGGGGGCTGCCCAGCCTGGGGCTCAGGGAAAAAGTCCCAGGCTAACTGGGGACAGTCTGTGAGAGACACGAGCAGAGTACAATCACGAGAACCGGCACAAGTCATGCAACAAAACGAGGAAAGAGAGAGAGAAACATGATTAGTGGAGAGAGAGAAAGAGAGAGCATGTGAACAACACAGAAAAGAACACCCAGGCCTGGCCCTCAGAGCCCCTCATTTCTCCGCTCCTTCCCCCTTCGCCTGCCTGGGGGCCACACTGACCCCACTCAGGGCTCCCGCTGCCCACCCTGGCCCTGCCTCTGAGCAGAAACTCGGTCAGCCCGCTTGGAGGGGCCCTGCCCACACCCTTCCTGGTCACTGTTGTCCCAATCCCCGCCACCTCCCCTGCCCTGGGGGCTACACCACTCCTGGCCCAGGAGGGGAGGGGTGGAGGGCTGGGGCCAGGGGCGCTTTGGACTCAGGGCAGAACCCAGAGGCTGCAGTGGTAGCTCCCAGGGGACCCAGGCAGGGGCTTTTCGGGACCTCACTGCTGCTCTATGTGCTCATGGGCAGGAAGGGGGGCCTGGCCACCACCCATCCCCCGTGCCAGCCCCCTCGCTGCTCACCTATGGTGGGACCCTGCAGCCCCAGACGCAGCACCCCAGAGGACCAACCCACATCACAGAAGCAGGGATGGACGAGACACATGTGAATGCACATGGCAGGACAGGGGGAGCACTCCGAACTGCCCAGAGGAGGTGGTCTGGGCCCCCGACTGCAGATGGGGGAGGGACCCCCCTTCTGGGAGAGGAGCAGCTTCTCCTGGGCTGTCAGTCCCAGGCAGTCCCTGACCATAGGGGCGCCTCCTGGCATTCCCCCGTGAGGCCCTACAACCCCTGCCAAGACGAATCCCCCGAACACTGACGCCATGCCAGCCATGGTACAGAGGAGACCAGATCATCCCTCACAGACACACAGACCTGAGGTTTCAGGAGAGACCAAGAGGTGGAGGTGAGGGGAGGGTGCTGCTGACATGACTGGGATGGCTTGCCTGAGTCCCAGGGGTCTAGCCCTGGAGGTAGGGGGTGCCCTTAGAGCCCAGCACGTTGCACTCGGCCCCAACCCAGGTTCTAAAAGTGGAATTGGTGAAGCCCAGCCCTCACTGAGGCCACTTGACTGCCCTTGGGTGTGGAATGAGACTGGAAAGGCCTGGGGGGGCTGCATCTCACCTCTCCATTCCTGCAGTGTCCGGTCTCCCCCACATTTGCCTCCCTCACCTCTGGCCTCCCCCACACTCACTCACCGACTCACCCAAACCCCACGCCCATCTAGGACCATAGCTGCAAGCAGGAAAGGAGGCAAATGGGAAGGGACTCAGGGGTGCCGGGTCGAGGAGACACCCCCTAAGGACCACACACCCTCTTGGTGATAACCTGGGTCTCACACACCAGCTTTCAGAGGGAGGAGTGTTCTGGTGAGGTATGAGGCTCAGAGGGGTCTGGGATCTCAAGACAGCACCCTCCGGAGCGCGAGAACTCGGAAAGGGGGCGGGGCAGAGTTTGGGGATGGGAGGGAGAAAGGTAGGTGCAGTTGGGCATCTGGGCTCCAGAGGGCAGGCTCGGAAGGGCCCCAAGTACCTCCTCAGCCATAGAGACCGTGCAAGCCAGGACGCTCTGGATCCCTGAGACCTGGGGCTGCAGCAAGGAGGTTCGCAGGAGCAGGGCTGCCATGGCTACGGGGCCCAGGGCCTCCAACAGGAGTGCACAGGCTTTCCAGGCCTGCTGCGGCACGGCAAGAGGGCTTGTGTCCTGTGACCAGCCGGTGTACCTGCCAGCACACACAGATCTGCACTCCGCGTGTGTGTGCACGTGCATGCGTGTGTAGGTGTGTGTGTGCATGTATGTATGTATGTGTGTGCATGCATGCACGCCCTCAGCACATGGAGAACACTGGCACTGTCTGGGAGTACTGAAGAATTTGCGCCTGACGAGTGAATGAGGGATCCTTGACAGGTGGGCCTGGGGCACCCATATTTGAGGCACCGATCCCGAAAGATTCAGCGTTGGGAGGGTGTGAAAGAGGGCCAAGGAGCGCCATGGTGATGCCACTCAGGCTGAGCTCTTCCTGCTGGGGCCTGGAGTGAAGCTGGGGCGCTAGGCCCACCCAGACCCTCCCCTAGGGTCCCAGGAATTTTCCTTGCCATGATGGCGGCTCCTGAGGTCGAACAGAAGGGCTACAGCTAACCCAGAGCAGGAGGGGGGACAGGGGCTTTCCTCGGCCCGTGCCTGCCTTGCTAAGCAGGAGCCACACCTTGGCTGGGGAGTCCAGCCCGCCCCCGCTGCCAGGTCCCCCTGTTCCAGCCTCTGAGACCCCTGCCCAGTCCCTGGCCCAGCCCAGAACACTAGCCACGTTCCTCTCAGGTGCCTACAGCAATCCCAGGGAGTGGGGAGGGGTACGGGGCCAGGCGAAGGGGCTGGAAAGTTCCCACGGACAGAGAAGTGGGCCTTGGGGGTACTGCTCTGGGCAGCGTAGCTGTGGGATGAAGCCAGATCAGGAGTAGGATGGGGGTGGGGGCCATCGGGGGAGAGTCCATCACCCACTGGGGGAGGCCACCCGGGCCAGGCGGCACTTGCTCCTCTAGGGCTGAGCTAGCCTACAGCCCCCCTGCCTGCCCTGGGCACAGGGGTGTCTTCTGTAGACTAAACGCCACCTATCACTGACTCAGCCTTCCTCGCCCCGGCACTCCTTCTTAGCTCGGTGTTGTCATTCTTCTCTGGGTCGTTCATTGCCTTCAAATCCCTGTGTCCACAGAATAAGTCGATGGTATTCCATGGGTAGAGGTAGACTATGGGCTTTATATCTTCGGACCAGAGCCCCATGATCAACTTTATGTGCTATGTGCAGGTTCTCATAAAACTGAGATAGTCCCATAACGAACCACTAGCCATGGAATATTAGAATATATCCCACGGTGACTAGTATTGTTTCATGGCCCCCCCCCCCCCCTCCCTGACCCCCACTGAATTCATGGGAAAGTGGTCGTACACTGGTTGGGATGTCGTGTATTGCTGCTGCAGTCCCTACCGCCGGAAACGGGGAGAACTCTGGGTGGGAGGTTGTTTGCTGGTCTGTAGCGCTTTCATCTAAGCTGCCGGGTGGTGGCCCCCTCTAGTCCTTCGCTCACCAGCCGCTCCCATCAGAAGGCCACCGGAAACTCCCACTTGACCATCAACCCAAACAGACAACGTGAAAGCTAGAGTCACTCCAACAGGTTCCTAAAGATAAACGCTAAACTCTAGAGTGGTGGTGGAAGATGAGTTGGTTCCGCATGCTGTGGGGTAAGTAAGCTTGTTACGTACGGAGGGCAAGAGGCATCTCCCAGGACGCGCCTGGAGCTAGGCAGCCGGCATCAGAGCAGGAATGCTACTCAGCTATGGAGACAGGCTCTGGTGGGGGGGAGAATCCTTGCTGCTGCCTTTGCAGGGACCCTCCTGCCAGATCCCATGCACCATCTGTGCCACACACGCACGGCCTGAAGGGAGCCGTGTGAAGACCAAATCAGCAGCTGTCTGGCATTTCCGAATCACACCCGCCCCCGCCCTGCCCCGACACTGGGTCAGTGGCCTGAGTCAGCGACTCATGCTCCACTCCTGCCCACCAAGCAGCAGAGCCCCCGGGGCTCCTGCCAAGAGAGTCCTCAGCAACCTCGCGGGCCATGTCATCTCTTCAGAACCCCACGAGACCAGCATGTTAACCTCCTTACCGGGGGCCACCAGTGAGGTTCTAGCAGGCTCTTGCCTCGTGAATTCGGCTGCCCAGCATCTCCCTGGGCCCCCAGACTCCACACCTCGAGATTGAGCGCAGGGTCCAGGGTCACCCATGGAACTAAGGAAGCAGTCTGACTGAATCTGGAATCATCGCTACAGGGGGCGGAGGTGAAAGGTCAGATCGACATGCCTCTAAGAGGTTTCCTACCTGCTCTGTTAATTTCTAAAATTTCTTCCTGGGCCAGCGGGCATGTGTCACTCTGAGTACTGTGGTGTGGAGAGTTTACGACAGATTTACAATAATTGGGAGATCCCAGCTGCGGTGGCCGCGGAATATGCTTCTTTTTTTTCTTTGGTAGTTTCTGCTTAGCCATGGCTAAGGAGTAATACATCCCGAAATTGTTCACAATGACGGGCACGGGCATGGCGATGGTCAGCACGCCCGCCAGCGCACACAGCGCTCCCACCAACATGCCGGACCACGTCTGCGGGTACATGTCTCCGTAGCCCAGCGTCGTCATGGTGACCACGGCCCACCAGAAGCCAATGGGGATGTTCTTAAAGTGGGTGTGCTCACTGGCACTGGGGTCATTGGGCTGCGCCCCTATCCTCTCGGCATAGTAGATCATGGTGGCGAAAATCAGGACGCCCAGAGCCAGGAAGATGATGAGCAGTAAGAACTCATTGGTACTGGCGCGGAGAGTGTGGCCCAGGACACGCAGGCCCACGAAGTGGCGGGTCAGCTTGAAGATGCGCAGGATACGCACGAAGCGGACGACACGCAGGAAGCCCAGCACATCCTTCGCCGCCTTAGAGGACAGGCCGCTCAGGCCCACCTCCAGGTAGAAGGGCAGGATGGCCACAAAGTCAATGATGTTGAGCGAGTTCTTGATGAACTCCACCTTGTTGGGGCAGAAGACCACACGCATGAGGAACTCGAAGGTGAACCAGACCACGCAGACGCCCTCGATGTAGGTGAGGAAGGCCTCTGTCTCCGCTTCCCGGTAGTAGCGCACTTGCGTGCCATTCCGAACGTTCTCGATCTCTGTCTTGTTCACGATGGGGTTGAAGCGCTCGTGGGTCTCCAGGCAGAAGGTGGTGATGGAGACGAGGATGAAGAAGAGGGAGGCAAAGGCCACATACTGTGGAGGAGAAACACACAGTGTCAGAGGGGAGGCCCTCCCCCCAGAGCAAAGAGACCCCGGGTGCCTCTGGGCTGGGTCCAGTCAGGGGCTGGGCTGCGGAAGATGCCTACAGGATGCCCCTCCTGACACAGGCCAGGCTGACAGGCCACCTTTCCCTCTTCAGAGCACGGAGCATGGGGTTAGGAGGCTCGGGGGTTAAGAGGCTGTGGCAGAGATTGCTCTGTTTTCACAAATGCCTTTCCTTTCCTCCTGGATGCATGGCTAGACCATATCTCCCAGCCTCCCTCGGGGCTGGGTGGGGTCACGTAACTGCACTCAGGCCAGCGGACAGTGCACAAAAGGGTGTGCACTAAGGCCGGGCCTGGCTCACAAAACCTTCTTGCTCAACCTTCCGTGCCTTCTTTCTTCCCCCAACTTCCAGTCAAATGCTGAAGCCCTAGGAAGCCAGCAGGGCCACCAGAAGGAAGCAGCCTGGGTCCCTGAAAAGAAAGACAGCCACTAAATACATGGGTGGGAAATAAACTTCTACTGTCTTAAGACACTGTGATCTGGAGGTGATTTACTAAAGCATTTACTCCCCCCCACGCCAACTAATAAAAGTGACCTAGGTGGTGGAGGCAGAGGTTGGCAAAGAAAGGAGAAGGGGGAGCTATGGTGGAGGCAGGCCCCTCAGAGGCCACATCTCCCACCTTTCTTTCGTCCCTACGCTAGTCTATTCACTCTCTTTTTCACGGATCTGTACCTCATTCATGTGGTCTCTTCATGTTCTATCCTATGTGGAATTGCAAAAGATATATCTGCCCCAGGGCCTTGGACACCTCTTTTACCCACTTCTCTCTATCATCCCAGGAACTCACACCACCATCCTGGAAGGGAGTTCCCCATCTTGGAGATATTGAAATAGAGGCTAAGTGGTCATTTGTCAGAGATAGTGTGTTGGAGGTTCAGGCATCAGGAGGAGAATTGGACCAGGGGTCCTCAAAGGCACCATAAACCATAGGGTCTGCTTCTCTCCTACTGCTGCCTGCCAGCCCCAGGGTAGGGATGTGGGTGGGAGGGAAGAAGAAGCTGCTGGGGCGCTAGCCTTTCCAAACATATGTGGGCGCTTGCTCCTTTCAGATCCCCTCCCTGGTGAGAAGGAAATGGCCAGGATAACCCAGCCTGTCCAGAACCACCTGCTCTGGCCCTGAGCCCCTTGAGAAAGGTTCCGAAGACTCTTTGGTTTGGTTTGGTGGCCCCAGCTGATGACCCCCTGGGCTTCTCTGGTCCCCAGCAGACATGGGTACCCGAGGAAAGAGAGTCAAGCAGCTATCTGAGTTTCAAAGCCTCCTACTCAGACTGAATTCCAGGCAAGGGCGCTTCTTACAGCCTCCAGTCGAGGTCCCTGGAACACTAACCCCTGGCCAGGGGTTCTCCTCCAGGGGCCCAGCTGATCATGTTCCCACTGCTCCCCTCTCCTCTGGACCCCCCTTCGCCCAGCCTGTCAAGACAGACCATGGTCAGTGCAAGGCCCTCTCCCTGGAGGCAGCTCTGGGCTATAGTCTAGAATGGGTGGCAAGTTCATTCTCCAGAGCTGCCTTCATAGAAAACTTCAAGGAGTGCCAAGGTCCCACCCTGTATCTGCCACAAGAGGCAGCCATGCTGCTTCTAGCAATTTCTTTAGTTTGTACTGATGCACCTCCCCACCCAGTGGTGGCCCTGTCTGGGCTGACCATGGCCATGGGACCTGGCACCCAACCTGGCACAGATCCAGAAAACAAGAACTACGTAGACCTTCCAAGACACATTTCGGGTTGGGGAAAGGGGAGAGAAAAGGGGAAGAGACAAAGTCAGCATCAGCATTTTAGAATGTCAGAGTAAGAGCAGCCTTTAGAGATTATCTGGTCCAAGACACTACATGCTACAGATGGGAAGTCTGGGGCCCAGAAACAGGAAGTGATCTGCCCAAGCCACTCATTATGGCATGCTAATACTCCTGCTGGTTTAGAGCGTCGTGCAGTCTTCAGAACCTTTGTCCTAGACAGACTACTATCAAGTGTGACCCCTATGCATCCTTCCATCCATCCATCCTTCTTCCCTTTCCTCCTTCCTTCCTTTCTCCCTCCCTTCCACCCACTCATCTTTCCTTCCTTCTATCCTCTCTCCCTCCTTTTTATCCACACATCCATTCATCCTTCTTTCCTCCCTCCCTCTATTCCTTCCTTTCTTTGTTCCTCCCTCCCTCCTCTCCCTCTCTTCCATCCATCATGCATTCATTCATTCATTCATCCCTTCCTCCTTCTCTTTTTTCTTCTTTCCTTCCTTCCTTCCTTCCTTCCTTCCTTCTTTCCACCTACCCATCCATCCATCCATCCATCCATCCTTTCTTCCTTCCATTCCTCACCAGGCACAGGTTATGCCCAGCACAGAGTGGAATAAGACCTCAGCCCAACCCCCAGGGAGGCCCCTGGACAGCCGAAGGTAAAGGACACACACAGAGACAAGTACAATGCAGTGGACTGAAAAGGTGAGCCCCCTCAGCCCTGTGATGCAGGTGGGGTTTGGACAAGGTGAGGCAGGGACTTAAGCCAGGTCTTCTGACTCCAGAAACAGCTCTTTAAGGATCCAGATAGTGCTGACCTGGGACACCACAGAGGTAGACCAGGAAAGCAAAGTGGAAGCAACTGGAAGAGGTCACCAGCTCTGATCCAGGTTTATCCAGCTCCAGCGCTCTTTCCATCACCAGTTGTCAAAGCTCTTGGAGCTAAGAACACATCCCCAAATGCTGGGTATTTGGCCCTAGATTCCCTCTGGAGGGCCCCATCTTAGAGCTTGGGATTCACAGCCCAGGTTCCCAAGGGGGTGGGTCACATTGCTCCCCTGGCCTTTTTGAGAGAGGGGAGGAAGAGACACACTGTGAGTGTCTAAGGGATGCCAAGAGGCAGGGTCCGCTGTGCCCCTGGGCTCCTGATCCTGGCCAGTGGTGGAAGGCAGGAGGCACTGCCCCTCCCCCTGCCCCATCAGCCATGGCATCTGCTTCCCCAACCATCCCACAGCTATCCTCCGTCCCCTCGACTCACGTGGGACTCTCTCTCAATGGGGCCACTGCCATCAAAGCCAGCATGTTGTAGGCTTCAATCTCGGCCACGCCCAGTACAGTACAGCCTCCACCCAGCTACCAGAGGGGGCAACCGTTGGAATCCCAGCTCTCTGTCCGCCACCTGGCCATGCTGCCCACAGAGAGAAGCCCTGACTCCTCAGCCTGGCACATGAGGCTCCCTGTGCCCTGGCCTCATCGACTTCCCAGGGTCCCCTCCCTGCTGCACCCAACATTCTTGCCACATGCAGCTGTCTGCTATATCTGACCGCCCCCCACCCCATCTCCATGTCTTTGCACTGCTGTTCCTGCCTCCAGGGTGCTCCTGCCGATCTCCGTATGGAAAAACCCATCCGTCCATCGGTGCCCCACTAAGTAGCCCTTCTCCCGGGACACCTTTCCCGGTGAGACTTCCTCTTGGCAGCTGGGGCCCTGAGGAGGCAGCAAATGCAGGGACCACCCCTCCCCAACAAGGAATGTCTAAATCCCCCTCCAGGGAGGCAGTGAGCCTGTCTCCGACTCATCCTCGTTAGTGCTCGCGGAGTCTCATGGGAACAGCTCAGAGAGGGCACTGATGTCCCCGGAGCCTGCTCCCTCCCTCCCAGGTGCCCCCAAAGGCCCTCAGAGCTCTCGTCCCATTTGCTCCTCTCACAGGACAGGTTCTGATGGGAAAACTGAGGCCCAGAAAGAGGTCAGGTCTTCTAAAATTAGGGTAGACAAAATCCTTGGTTCTCAGCCAGCAATGGCCATCCCGTCTAGATTCTTTCCCCTCTGGGCCCCAGTGACCGAGGAGTGGGGCTGGGGGGAGGGCAGCAGCAGCCAGGCCTAGAGCCAGACACCAGGACTTCTTCCCCAGGGGAGCGGGGGAGGTGGTAGCCAGGCCTCCTACCCGGCCTGGGCCTCCTGGGTGCCTTCCTGGACTCTGCGGCCCGTGCACCTGTTCCTTTGTCACAGGCAGGGCCCCAGCAACATCCGGGTCCAAGTGGGCCCTTAGGGGGGCTGTGAAGGAAGGTGCCCCTGGCTTGCTCAGACTGCCACAGTCTCCTAAGCCCAGTAACTAGGAGGTCAGCCCCAGCGCATCAAAGCCAAAGCAAGAGCCCGCAGCCAGGTGAGTCCCCAGCGCCCTCCTGTCCATCCTCAGGGAAGCTGAGCCAGGAAGGAGAAAGGAGAAGCTGTCAGGGCTGAGGACCTACTGTGCGCCTTTAATCCTCCCACAGACCTGGTGAGACAGGGGGTCGTACCCCATTGCGCCAAAAAGGAAACCCAAGTACAGAGAGGTTCAGGGACTAAACCAAGGTTTAAGGCGGGTGATGAAGCTGAGGCTTGAACGCAAGTGGATCTGGCTCCATCATCTAAGCTCTGTCCACACCAGAGGTACCAGAGCCCTCGGGGGCTGACAACACAGCTCTGCGCGATGGCAGCCCTAATTATACGTGCACGGCTCCATCTTGGAGGGTGGCACCCACAGCTTGGACTCCCTGAGGGCAGGTTATGTCTGTCCCCAGTGACGGACAGAGCCAGGGTACTTGGATCCACAAGCTGGAGCCCAGGCACACCTGAAATGGTCTTGGGCCTCATTGCCCAGGGCTTGCTAGCACCTGGGGCCACGGCAGCCCCAGGGCCGGGGAGGCTGCCCCGTTCTGCTCAGGGAGGCAATGCCGACAGCAGCCCTGGATGGCTCGGCCTGCATGCCTACCTGGCCCACCTCTTGGCAAGACCCAGAGAGGGCACGCTGAGAGATGACTGCAGCTTGTTCGGGGAGCTCAGCCAGAGGGAGGGGGTGGGTGCACGGGCACGGGGATGGGGAGTTCCCGAGATCAGCTGATGCTGACAGGGAGGGAACCTCTGCCTGGCAGGCCCAGATAGCAAGCCTTGGAAGCCGTTTCTGCAGTCACCCTGGGCTGTCACTCTCAGGACTGTAGGGGCTGCACCCCATGTGAGCTGTCTGCCTTCCAATCCCCAGTCACCCAGAGGACAGTCACCCACCGACATGCACAGCTACCTGGAGCACGCGCCTCACTTGTTACCTAAGTACCCACCCTGTGGTGCATGACCGCACATACACAGAAGACACAGGGATGCATGGATCATACTGAAACATATCACTGCCCACCAAGCGTGAGCACCCAGGCGCTGTACCACGAGGCGCGCAGCCCCATACCTCCCCCTCGCAGCCTGTGCGTATGCACTTGGAGCACAAGGACGGTCACCACACCGCGCACCTCCTACAAACACCCCAGACCCCAGGCATTGCCACACAGCTGGCCCCTCCCCTGCCCACCTCGCCCCCGCTGGGTGGGACTGACTCGGTGTCTGTCTCTCCCGCAGGACGGCAGCCCCAGCTTGTCTCGCCTCAGCCTCCTCAGCCTTCCCTGATGCCCTCACCTGTCTCCCTGCCCAGACAGTGCCAGCTCCTGGATCAGGCATCTCTACACCTGCCTGTCACCCACCGGCTTCCTGATTTGCTGCCACCTACCAGACCCCGTCCCCTTCCCTCAGCCCACCACAGCAGCAGCGCCCCACACCCAGGGCCCAGGCCAGCTGGGAGGCCAGCCCTCCTGGGCCTCTAGTCTAATGGGGGCACAAAGGGAGCTTTGCCCAGCAGCCCAGGGCCAATTGTCACCCAGCCTGGCCACACCTCAGAGGCCACCCTGTGAAATTGCAAGACAACGCAGGCAAGATAGCCTGATAATGCAGCATAAACCCAAACTGGTAGTGCTGGCTTTTCTTTCTTTCTTTCTTTCTTTCTTTTTTTTTCCTCCAGAATCACAAACTGTGAGAGACCCACCAATTGTGTTCTAGAAAGAGGTAGCCATGGCAACAGAGCGAAGCATCCCATTTCTATGGTAACCGGGGTGGTGAGACTGTTGGCTGTAAAGTCAGACAAACCTACTAACGATCTGTTGACTTAAGAAGATATTTTATAAATCACCAGTTATTTTTGTCATAACCCCACCCCTGAAACCATAAATCAGAAAGGCAATTTACTATCTATGAAAATGACCAATATGTGCTATGACTTTCATTGTAAATTATTGATGCCACAGTCATCTTTAGAAAATTGTGCTTGTCTTTTGGAACTGTTCAGGGGTTCACCGTGGGGATCTGTGTTCTTGCAGTTTGGCGTTCCAGGAGCAAGGCGATGGCTGTAATGTGGTGCAGGGACCAACGTTCTGGTCCGGCAGCTCACTCGCTGCGTGACCTCGGCAGGCCACCTCCCCTCTCTGGGCCTCAGTTTCGTCATTGGTACACTGAGGGCTGGACTTGGTCCCTTCTGAGGATTCTGAGACCGGCTGAGGCTGTAGGCCATGGGGCTAATCAGGGGAGCCCTGGCTCACGTCCAGGCCCCAAGCCCCTAGAGGCTTCAGGTCAGTTTTTCTGCCTAATTAAGTCTGCCCAGCGGGGGTGTACAGCGTTTGAGTTAATCCATGCAGAGTCAGTGATGCAGAGCAGGAGGGATGGCCAATTGGCCTAAATAAATTGTCAGTCGAGTTGAGTTTGGAAACTGAATTAGACTCGTCTGGACTTCCTTGGGCTGGGCATGCCCAGAGTATGCTGTGCTGGCTGAGCACGTCATAGCTTATGGGGGGGCAGGAGGGGTCTTTGGGGTGCAGTCCCATTTTGGTCTGTTAATAAATGCCTCCGCATGAACCCCCAGATGCTGGCTGTGTCCTGAGCAATCTGTCCAGCATCCGGGTCTCCACCCCATTCCTTCGCACTAATCGTCCCCTTTTGGCACGAAGCTCAGAGAGCAGCAGGTGGGAGGTGCTTCCCATGGTGTGGAGGGCGTGAGCGGGAGTGTGTGAAAGTGTGTGCAGAGAACATGCCGTGTAGAAGGTCTGTGTGCTGGGAGGGGAGTGTGGGGGAGGGGAGAGGTGGTGTGTAAATGTGGAGTAGCTGTGTACATGGTGAAGGTGTGTCACCTGTTTATGTCACCTGACTCTAGGCATGTGCCAGAGGCTCATGTAAGTGGTCACTGTGTGTGATGTATGTGGTTCATATAGGTGGTAGAAGTGTGTGTGTGTGTGCATAAGGACATGCATGGGGTGTGATGTGCATATAAGGACATGCATGGGGTGTGATGTGCGTATAAGGACATGCATGGGGTGTGATGTGTGTATAAGGACATGCATGGGGTGTGATGTGTGTGTGTATAAGGACATGCGTGGGGTGTGATGTGTGTGTGCATAAGGACATGCATGGGGTGTGATGTGTGTATAAGGACATGCATGGGGTGTGATGTGTGTGCGTATAAGGACATGCGTGGGGTGTGATGTGTGTATAAGGACATGTGTGGGGTGTGATGTGCATAAGGACATGCATGGGGTGTGATGTGTGTGTATAAGGACATGTATGGGGCATGATGGTGTGTGTGTATAGGGACATGCCTGGGTGTAATGTGTGTGTGTGTGTATAGGGTGGGGTGTGTGTGTGTGTGTGTGTGTGTGCATCTCCTAGGAGAATCAGGGTCTGGCTGGGCACTCTGGACATGTGTTCTCTGAGTTAAGACCATGACCCTTGTCCATGTCAGAGATGGTCCCTCACACACTAGCCGAGGGGGGTGGTGCCCCTTCCCTGGGACTGTCTCTGACTGAGAGAAAAAGGGTAGACGGGGTGGAGGTGGGCTAAAGGCCACTGCACCA